GTGAATCTTTGAGAAGTTGCTAAGGGAGACAGAAATAAAATAAGCGATAAGGAATTGAGAGGGAGGCAGAGGCTAAATCAGAAAGGGCCTTGAACCTGTAGTGGGAGTTCAATTTTTGTCCTAAAGGCAACAGAAACTAGAATTATATCACACAGAGACCATTCAAGATGGGTGAGGGAGACAGAAGAGACAGAAGATCACAGCCTGGAGGCCAGTTAATAGGATACTCCAATCAGGGGAATAGGGTCTGAACAAAGGTGGAGGTAGAAGACAGGAGATGTGTAGAACCACAGAGTGGAGAAAATGCCATCAATATTGAATAAAATAAACAGATACAAGAAAACATTGTATTAAGTACTAAGATGCAATATTCAAAAGATTTTATTAGATATGAAAACTGCAATATTCAAAAACTTAGCAATATAGGAACCTGATAAATTCTAAGAGGTTATGTTTTTACTTTGCTTAAGATCTTGCAACTATCTAATCTCTTTTTGAAGAAAATTGAATTGCACTACTCTTCACATTTAATGAGAGAATATCCAGCAATCTTCACAAATCCTCAAATTAGAAGCATAAATACTACACACATAATAGGTGGGTTTTGCCCTAAAGAAAGCACCCACTACAACAGATCCAAGAGGATACTTCTTTCCACACAGACTCTCACCTAGGAGATTATGGTCACCACTACATCTGCCATGCTATTCTTCATTTCACACAAGCTTCCATATTCTGGCTGAACACTACTGCATCTTTCAAATCTTTCTAATTTTGGTAACCTGCACAATGAATTGGCTATAGTTTCTGTGCCAATTTAAGTTTGAAAGTTTAAGTTTACAAAAAGAAAAAAAAAATTCACTTCCAGAGAATTTCTGCATAAGTAACCAGAGAGAAATAACAAAAGCCCAGTGAAAGACCAATACCTGGTTTTCATCATCCCAGAAACTTAGAGGATTTACATGCTTGACTTAGTTCAACTAGAAAGTGTTGTAAACCTGTAGGTCAACTCCCAACTGGCCATCAAGCTCACTCAATGAATGCCCAAGGTCTCAAGGCTTCAATCTAAGCTCTTCCTTTCTAACCTGTTCAGTGTCACAAGCTCATCAAACACTAGATGTCACTCTGTAACAGCTACCATGCTGCATATCCAAGCAGAAAAAAAGTGATAGAATTTTTACCAGATGGCAAGTATTTATACCACTCCCTTCTATATGTATATAAAAAAATTAACTGATTCAAATTGTGTTGACACATTTAATTTTAATCAATTTAAAGGGAAAGAAATAAAAGCTCTTTACATCTTCTGTTTTTCTAACAATACAGTATATGCTCAAGCTTTACTGTAAATTTTCCATATATTTAGCCTTGATGTGGTTTCCACCATCTGCCCTAAATGAATTCTTGGAAGCACTTGCTAGTGCTATATTCTACAAGACCTCCTTTTCAGGGTGTCATTTACCAACAAGTCAAGTGGCATGTTACATGACAGGGGCCAGCATGCCAGGAAGCTTAGGGCACCTGTGCTGCAACAGGTAATCACAAGAATGTAATTTTAGACTTCCACAAATATCTTGTTTCCAGTTTCCCTTCCCCGAAGGTGAACTGAGTAATTCAGTATATCTCGTTGGGTCAATACCAAGTTTCTCACCTCTAAGTTAGGATGGATAAGGAAGACTGCAGTATTGAATATTAAGTTTGAAAGATAAATTATGCATTGAAAATGCTCCTTTTAAAACTCAGACACTTATACTATAATAAAAATTACTAACATACTACAATATGATAATCAATTTTTTACCATGAAAAATGTATTCAAAGAATCTCCCGCAAACACTCGACATTTTTATTCTGTTTTCATTTTCTAGTTTGTAGAGATCACACATACTCCATGATCAAAAACAGAACACAGAAATAAAAGATCCAGGCCCTGTGCTTTAGTATTTCCCCAGTACCTAGTACAGGGTGCAGCACTGAAGAGCAAAAACAGAACTAATTCACCACCACAGCAACACTTGAGACCAGTGGGAAAGGTCACAACTGGCCATAAGGCTGGCCCTCTATTGTAATCTCCGCAGATGAGATTTGAGGAGTATCTCAGGGTAGATCACACTAAGCCATAATAATAATGCTATTATTTAGGATTATTCCCAAAATAATTCAATGTCATCATAAATCATAAGTGTGACCAACATTATGAGAAAGGTCAGAACAATTATACCCCTCCATTATCATTTCAAATAGCTACAATGCATTACTCCCATATTATAAAGGTAACTCAATATTCCAGTCATGATCATCAGTGGCATTTTCCTTGCCAATTGGACCTCAGAATGGCTGTGGAAATACAAAAGGAGTTGTCTGTGTTGGTTTGATTGTTTTTAATATTCTCCAGGAAATTTGAATTGATATTAGCTTTTTCTCTATTGCAATCAAACATTTAAAATTATGATTTAGGATTATGACAGTGACCTAGGAAGTACATTCAAAATTGGACTTGTTCTTTGTAAACAAACAAACAAACAAACAAACTCAACTGAAGCATCCAAATATTTGAAATCTTTAATAAGAGCTTGAAAGTGTAAGGGTTTTGAGAAAAATCTGCTCTTCTCATTCATTTTATTTGTTCTTGTCACTCCTCCACTCAATAATAGTAAAGTGGTCCTTATGGAAAAAAGAAATAAAAGCAGTAATAACCTGAGAGTAGAAGCAAGTCCTTTACCTTGGTATGGAGCAGAAGGAGCAATGTGGAGGACATATTCACATTGGCCAGCCCGGAGTAAGTAATGAAAAGTCAAGCAAAGGAAAGCAGAAGCTGTAGAAACTAGTTAATTGATAAAATATGATTCCACTGCCCTGCTATGTATTAGTTGTTTGCATGAAAGGGCACTAGGCTTTTCTTTATATAAAGAAAGAAAAGGGACTCTTACCTAATTCTGAAGGACACCTGGGCCTGAATGTGTTAGCTGGGGCTCAGTCGAAGCATTTTCATTGAAACTCCACAGAAGTTTCTAATTTGTTTTCATTTTCAAAGAATTGGAAAAGATATACAGTTCCAACAACAAAAATAACAAAGAAGCAAAAAGTAGAATGTGAATAAGAAAGGGAAATAAGTATCTCAGAATTGTTTATAATTTATTATGTTCCTAATTCTAGTTTTTCATCAAGAAATTTACTATTAATATCAGAAGTAGAACAGTGCTACTAAATATGAAAAGTTAGAAATAACTTTTGTATGAGAAATAAAATCAACATTAAATTACTGGATGGCACAGACATAGCAACGACACAGAAAGTAAAACCCAGTCATTTGTTTCACCCACTTTTGCATAAATCCAGGCACTGCACTGGATCCAGTTGTGTTACTATTATCAAGAAAGTCATTAAAAGTCCTGTTCCCCTACTTTAAGTAAAAGAATTATAGGCTAAACTCACAATCTATATAAGCTCACTCGGAATAACAAAGAACAAGGGACCCAGTGTCGAATTCCATTACAGTAAGATAGATTCCACTATAGCCCAGGATTTACCACTGGTCAAATTATGACTCCACAAATGTAACTACACCCAGCAAGACTGCATACACGTGAGTCTTGCTATCCAATCCATCATTACCTTCATAGTACAGGGGGGCAAAGGGCGTCAGCACCTGGGAATCGTGGAGTAAATCTCAAACAATCCAGTTGGTATCTTTAATATCAAAGAAGAAAACAAATGCTGGTGTACAGTATCATACTTTTCCTTCTTCTGTATGCCCATAAGAAGCCCAGATGTCACTGGCACTCACACTTGCTGTATAGTCCATCTGCGCAATTTGCCTCTTACCTCAATGCTTACCAAACCAGACTCTCCTTCTCTACCAAAGGAGAAGAAAAGAAGAAACACCATGCAGCATCCTGAAAAGACACTGAATTTTTATTTATCTTCTTATTTATATATGACAACAGGATGCATTAAAATTCTTATTACACATGTAAAGCACAACTTTTCACATCTCTAGTTGCATACAAAGTATACTCACATCAATTCATGTCTTTATACATGTGCTATGGATAATAATGATAATCACATTCCACCATCATTTCTAACCCCATGCCCTGTCCCTTCCCTTCTACCTTATCTAGAGTTTGTCTATTCCTTCCATGCTCCCTCTCCCTATCCCACTATGAATCAGCCTCCTTATATCAAAGAAAACATTTGGCATTTGCAATCCCAAAAAAACAAATGCCGAATGTTTTCTCTGATATAAGGTGGGTGACTCAAAGTGGGGTAGGGAGGGAAAGCATAGGAGGAAAATTACCTTTAGATAGGGAATAGGGGAGGAGGGCAATGGAGGGAGAAAGGGAATAGCTAGGATGGTGGAAGGAGACAGTCATCATTATACAAAACACATATATGAAGATGTGAATTTGGTGTCAACATACCTTATATACAAATAGAGATATGATCAGTTGTGGTATAAAGGTGTATTAAGAATTGTATGCAAAAAAAAATAAGAGAGCTCATGTATAATGGTAATAATTTGGCATGAACATACATTATATACAGAGTTACAAAAAATTATGCTGTGAATAAATAATTATGAATGTAATGCACTCCACTATTGTCATGTATGTAAGAAATAAATTTTTAAAAAAAGAATATCTAAAAGGTTTATAAATGTTTGAAATATCACACAAAGACTGATTCTTAAAAATTAATAATAAAGTTTGTTTTAAAAAAGTTAAAAAAAAAAGAAAACATTTGGCATTTGGTTATTTGGGATTGGCTAACTTCCTGAATTTTTTTTTAAGCTTGGCATGAAGAGAATAGATGGAGAGAAGTGGAAAGTATGGTAGGGAACATGGTGGCAGGTGCGGAGAGATCAAGTCTCTGACCTCTTCAGCTACGGGAGCATAGGGAGTCTTAAACCGTCTAAATGCTGTTTGCTCAGGATCACTAGGCAATGCTGAGCTGACGTGGATATGGGGCGAACAGTCTGTGCCTCTCAGAACACACACAGAGCCCAGATCAGCTGGATTCAAGCTCCCGTTCGCTGGCATCTCACAGACAAACCACTGTGACTCAGCACTAAATGAATGATCCCGCGGAAACAACTGGTCGGCCCTTCTGAACCTGCGGAGGTTAATACCAACCGAGCCTTCATAGGCAGTGGCCACACGATTGAGACGGGGCTTGGGAGAGCTAGTCAGGACCCACCCGTTGCATTGGTCACCCAGCAAAGGGAACGAACTGTCGCCATTTGCATGGGATACCACCATGGCAGAGAACTGACGTCACCAGAATG